AGCTGTTCTCCATGTGGGTACCATACCACAGCAAGGCACTGAAGTTTAACTTCAAGCACCTGAGACACCTTCAGTTAAACTCTGATTTGCTCTTTCAGCTTTCTAATGTCTGATTTCTATTTACAATAAGGCAAGACAATCTGGAGGAATTAGAGCGACAAAGAAATTCCCCTTAACCTCTGGAACGAAGCAGAGCTGGTAGAGTAACAGTTAGTACCCTACTATTCAGTATATAAGCAACCACTGAATTGTAAAAGAATGCCCACATATTCCTAGCTAGCATAATTAGCGTTTGATTCTACAGGTCAAGGAGTTTTTGTCTCACAGACTTGATTATAATCTTAGTTCTGCTTTTGACAAGGAAAGGTTAAATCACAATTTGCCACATGATTTGCCTTAGAGTTTTGTGGGATTTTTTTTGGCAAGCACAATTTTTAAAGAAAAAAGTAAAATAAAACCAGTGTGTCTGCCTAAGCTTGCATCAGTGGTGTTAAAGCTTCCAAATCGGCACAGATTTTCAAAGCACAAACACAACCCAAAGGTCTGATGGTCTCTGCAGTTAGCTTTCACAGAAAATAAATGTGTACACAGGCACACACACAGAGGCTTTTGTTGAGCAGCTAGCCTGGGATCTGTTTTAAGGCAGTGGAAATAACCTACCAAACCCACAAATCTAAGTTCTTTTGGGTTTAATATCTTCAGAATATTTTGCTGAGAGCACACAGCTAATAAAATCTTTGAATGCCTTGACCCTTGAGACAGAAAATACATTAAGAGAGAAGTTGGAAAACAGATGTGGAATTATTCTGGGCTCTGGATCCTCTATTCTGTACAGCAGACTACAGCAAGTCCTAATTGTGCTTCTTCTTGCATCCAGAAATCTCATTAGAAAGGAATTAAGGGGAGCAGCAGTTATGTCTCAGATGTCTGGAGATGCAGCAGCTCTGTTCACCCAGATGATTAGATTTCCCAAAATACCAAGCAAACCCTCCACACACATACACCAATTTTGCAGCATAGACATGAGCAGTCTGTATCTTTGGGAAAATATGAATAGTAAATAAAACTCATCTTAAACTCAGTTTACTATGGGTATTCCAGTGCTTTCCAGAAGTTACACAGCTCATAACAACATACTTTTAATATACAGGCATGACAGCCTCAGACTTCTCATGCTGATAAGGGCATAGGCAGCAACAGTGCTTCTTCAAGGTACACCAAGACCCACTGCCCTGTTTTGGAGAAAACAGCAGACCTGAATTACTGCCAAAACAAGGAAAGAGACACAGTGACTGGAACTGATCAGACCTGAAATAGCAGGAGAGTGATACAGAACACAAAACCAATGAAGTCTAAGTTCTCTTTATTACATGGCCTTGTTTTCTGTACCAAGTTTGTTCATGTTTCTCTAGCTCCTTAAATAGATCAGAGTCATGCTTTCTAAAATTGTCTATGGTAAAAAAAAAATCCTCAACACCATAATAGGAATTCAAGATAAAAAAAAAAAAAAAAACAAAAAAACTCACTTTTCTTCACTGAAATTAAACACAGAGTTCTATTTACCATATTTCAGATCCCCAGTTTTAAAAGAGCTCCTGAACACATACATAAATACACAAACTGCATGTAAGACAAAAACAATTTCACAGAATTGAGCATGTTCTCAAAGCTCTTGTTTTTCTCTGTTCCGTATGTAAAAGAAAAGATCATTTATATGATAACTACAGCAGTATTTTTACTACATGTACATATACCCAACTATAAAGATATTGCAAGTTGAAGTCTATCTTGCATTCTCAGTATGAAACAAAAAACACAGAGGTCATTTAAGGGAAAGGTAAATTGCAAACACAAATCCTGAAGAACAGATAACTGCTATTATGACTGCAGGTGCTGTTCAGCTAATATCGATTTGTATCGTACTGAGGACTATGACATCATTTTTTCCTCTGTAGCTTCCCACTGCATGCCTCTATTTTTCATGTTGAATAGATGTTCTAGCCCTGCTCACAATGTTATTAACTCTGATACAATTTTTACTATTAGCTTCCCCAGTGGAAATGCTTTAGCCTGTTCTTAGGCATAAGATGAGGGAGGGGAACAAGCTGCCACCAAACATCTGATAGCAAAACCCAGACCCCTGCTTTGCTGCTGAACATTTCAACAGCAGAAGCAATGTGCAGCCACCTCTGAAAAGCACTGAGTGCTCTTAGCCTGGACACAGTGCTCAAGTCCCCCAAATCAGGCTTCAATGCTGGAAGCTGAAGGCCCTACCTATAAGAGGCTACTTCTCAGGTTGCCTAGACTACAAGAGCACTCTGAAATCACTTGAAACAAGCCACACACACACCAGTCATACAGCTCAGCAGCAGCTGAACATCTTTGATGGTATTTTGAGGCACATAGGATTACTTTAATTAAAATCTGGATTCAAAATGAAAAAAAAAAATCTTAACTAATAGGCTTTCCCTATTAGCACAAGTGACCTGACAGAAATCAATTAGAGCACCTGCAGAGCAGGGAACACTGAAGCCTCCACAGCCCAGTGCTGCTGAGCACACAGATGTGAAAGGGCTTGTTTTAACGAGGGATTTGTCAGAGTCAAAAGCTGTTCTTCATTACACACTAATAAATGTACAGCTGAGCTGTTGACATGAGTGCCTGCCTGAGCTGTGCAGCCTAACCTTTGTGCTGTACCTACAGTGCACACATTTGTTAGCATTGCTGCTCTGACAATCTCCAATATTCCACAGCAATTTTTAATAGCAAAATATTATCCTTTCTATGGCATGTAATACATCATTCAGAGGGCACTACATTAATCTTTCTGCTAGCATAAGAAATAGTTTCAGGGCATCCAAGGCACAAAAGCAACTTACAGGAACGTAGCCTAAAGTGTCCTATTATTCACTTGGGAAGCAAGCAGCGCTTTCTTGTCATTAAGGATCTCAGTTTAGGAAATGCCTATTTTGTCGTGAAGTATTAACCTGACATTCACCAGGTAAAATGCCAGCCCTGCTGAATACCACCAGGACCCTAATGAGTAACAGCAGAGAATCTTTAGGAATGATCAGCCTTCTCCTCTGCTCTCATACATCCTCCACACCAAGGGTCATCTCAGTGGACCATTTCACCAGGAAAGCCACAAAAAGCACTCCAAAAAAAGGAGGAAAAGATACAGCAGAGAAAAGAAAGTTGAAATAGAGTGGTACATCACTTCTAGAAGTGACACTGTGGGTGAGTGCCTCTGTGATCACAGATGTGGAGCACTGCGTGGGTCAGAAAGAGGTGCAAAAGGCCTAACAGAGGGGAACAGCATAGGGGTAAGAGCAGCATCTACATCATGCAGCAACCTAAAAAACATTTTCCTTAGTAGTGTCCAAGAAAACCTCTCCTATAATTCCAAGACAGCTACACAAAAACCCCTTGGGGATATGCCTCTAGACCTCAGCCCAGGCACCAGCTGGGAGAGCCCACAGCTGTCCTGTCTGAGAAAGCCCCCATGTTCACCATAATAACTGTGAATGGATTATTCTTCGCCACTTGTTGATCAAACAACAACCAACCAGCTTCACAGAATCGGGAAGACATGGACACAATTGGATAGATACTGTTGCAGTAGCAGTCTCTGTAAGGGCAAGGTGTATTTATACAGGGAACTCACCCTGTGAGGATGAAGCACAGACCAGTGGAACGTACAGAACTGGGGTAAAAGATGCATGAAACATGACAACAAGAGTAAAGCAGAGGCTCCAAAGGGTGGTACCAGTCCCAGTTTTGGCACAGTGCACTCCCATCACTGGAACAAGCTGCTGCATACTTCACCTCCACTTACAGAATGGGGACACAGGGTCTTGAGGACCAGAAGTCAGATACAGGGAGCTCAGCTAGCAGCAGTACCAATAAGCCTGGTGGGCTCCTATCTCACCTTTTAACAATGGAGGACATCTTTTGGCAAAAAATTCAAACTTAGATCCAAATAATCCTTGAAAACAATTTCATCCATACATAGAGTTATTTATACGTACAATTTTGTATTTATAGTCACACACTGATAATCAACAACAGAATGGGAACAGCAACAAAACTACACCAGGAGAGGTTCCAACATGACATTAAGAAAATGCATATTTGCTATAAGAGTGGTCTAACTCTGGCACACACTTCTTAGAGAAGTGGCTGATGGCCCATGGCTGCCAGTGCTCTTGCTTCTGGGCAGTACCCTCAATAATATGCCCTAACTTTTGGTTAACCCTAAAGAGGTCCGGCAGATGAACTTGATGATAGTTAAAGGTCTCTTCCAGTGGAATTATTCTACTGTAGATAGAAAAAAATCATTATGATAAAACATGAAATGGATGCTCAATATGCATGATGCTGTCTGTACTGTTTGTCTGTTTAAAAATCTAATTCATTTGGATTCACAAGATGCTCTTTGTCTTTGGGTGCTCTATAGAGCTGAGGCGCTTCTCTTACATTGACCGCCAATATTCACAAACAACCCTTGAGCTGGAGCCCAAACTTAGTCATGACTTGAAACAACTTGGCCACACAGACAGGAGCATCTCTGCATACAACAGGCCAGAATCCGTGCAGCAAAGACAACTTGTACAAACACAGATGTGTGCACAAACGTGGAAGCGAGGAAAAGAACCGAAAAATCAGATCTCCGCTTTCTATTTATAGCCCACAGCAGGAGGCAGGGACGACACTGCGTTCGCCTCCCTCCCCAGCGTGACGGCAGAGGAGCGGCCCGGGTGATGCGCTCCAGGGCCGGGCGAGGAGCGGTCCTACCGCTGGGCGCTGACACCTGCTGCACCCAGCAACTTCAGAGCCTCCTCTCCCCGATTTCCCCCTCCTTTCTTCTTCGTTTTGTTTTTTTTTCCCCCTCTGCCACTTTCCCCCTTCCCGACGCGGCGCAGCGACTCATCCCTCGCCTCCCTACGCTCTCGCTACGCCGACACCCCTGGCAAAGGGAGCAGGAGCGGGACTGCGCCTACCTGCGCGGCCATGAAGGAGAGGTCCATGCTGCTGCTGCCGCTAGAGCTGCTGCCCGAGCTGCCAGAGGTGCTGAGGCTGCTGCCGCCGCTGCTGCCGGGGGCGGGCGGGGCGCGGGGGCACGGAGCGGGCGCCGCCTCCCCCAGCAGCGGCGGGCGCGGCCGCGGGACCGACACCGGGACCAGTTCCAGCTCCGGTGGTTCCCGGTTCGACACAGCACGATGCGGCAAGGCACGCTGCTCCGGCTCCAAGAGGCGGCCAGACCCTGCGTGGGCTGGGCTGTCCCGCCCACATAGGGCGGGGGGCGGCCGCGGGCAGCGTCCGCGTGGAGCACCCGCGTGGACCACCGCTGTTCTCGGGTCAGGGTGAGTGGGGAACACCCCTGCTCTGTAGCGTCTTGTTCTTTTCTCAGGAGCTTAGGTGGAATTGCCCTGCAGCTTGTGCACCCCAGTGGATGCCGAGATAGAGAGGACGGGTCGGAGGCACGGCCGGTGCTGGGCAATGCCGGAGAAACGCGCTAGGGAGCAGGTGCAGCACGGCTCTCTCCGCATCTGCTGATCCTTTGCATGATACAAACCCCATGAGATACACTGACTACTATATGCTTGGCTTTTCTTGCCTAGCTAGCAAATCCATCTTTTTTTTCTTTAATATATTTTTTTCTTTTTTTAATATATATTCAACACCACTGCTGAAAAGAACTTGTGACACTTTATAGAATCATAGAATCTCCAAAGTTGGAAAAGACCCACAAGATCATCCAGTCCAACTACCACCCATCATCAATAGCTCTCACTACACATGTCCCTCAACACAACATCCAAATATTCCTTGAACACCTCCAGGTCGGTTACTCTACCACCCCCCTTGGCAGCCCATTCCACTGCCTGACCACTCTTTCAGAGACGTATTATCATTCTCAGATGTTTTCATGACTTAGCTGCTACAACTTCATCTGTTAACTTCTCTACTCCTCAGTCCAAAATTTACCATTCAACAATTCATCGCAAATAAATTTTATGCCTTTTTTTTGTATTTTCTCCTGTATTTCAGATACTGCCATTTTGAGTAAAAATTCAGTGAACTCATACATTGGGTGGCTTTGAAAAACCTTTGACGCTAACTAGAACAGAAGAATAAAAAAAAAATGGAAATTCTTATGTGCTGAATTTTTTTTTTGTTCTGAGATTTTTTTATTATCTTTCTGTTTTGTGCTGGTTTCATCTCCAAGACTAAACCATTTTGAGTTATCTTTACTGCAGCTGAATACAGGGACCTGAAGGGAGTATGAGTGTAACGTCAATAAAGGAGCTAATTGGAGGCTCAGCTTTGCTGTGGGACTTTAAAACATAGAGGAATAAAATAGCACATGCATCTGTACTGTGAACTGTGTGCTCTTGGGTTGGTATAACGTTGGGCTGTTGCAGCAGGTGGTGGTGAAAGGAAGCTCAGCTGCTTTACATCAGTGCTTTACTTGATTGACTGCTAGAGCACCTGCCAAGAATGCTTTTATGTCAAGAGGCCCATTAACTCTAACGAGTAAAATCCAAAAGAGACAGTGCCACTTTATGAATTTTTAAACTCAGTTCTGTAAATAATGAAATCATCTATTTGTGGATTTTCTCCAAAATTTTGAAAGAATGTTGGTATATGCACCAGAAGCCATAAAGTAAATCCAAAATCATTTTAGTCCTTATCATCCACATAAATTTTACATGTGATGTGTCTCTGCACGATGAAAGCAGCCAAGGCTGCCTGCATTTGCAGCACCAGTTTTAGTATCATTCCATTAGAAAAACAAAATAATCGAGGCTTTAAAGTTCCAAATGCTTCTACATTTGGTTATTTTTTGGGGGAATAAAACAGACAAATCTGGGAAGGAGCTTAGTCTAGTCCATGCACTTGCTTAAAATATAACCAGTTATATCTGTGGTCCTCCAAACAAGAAAATCTCTTCTTGAAAGCATCCTGTGAAAAAAACTTCATTCTCTGCCAGGCAACACACAGCCTTACTCCACTGGCCATTTCCTAAGGCTGTGTCTACCTGTGACACAGAGAGGAGTATTTTCTCTGGGACAACTGCTTGCCTTCTGAGGCTATTGATGAGCACTGTATCTGTCTTTGTCTGATATTATGATGTCTTGTCCATCTCCTAAAAACACTTAATGAGGATTGCTGGTGGCAAGAAGATTGTTCAGTCAGATTTTCAAGTATTTTACTGTGATGTTCAACAGGTTCAGACAACTAAGTCATCCCCAAGAGGTTCCTAAGTACGTAACAACAAAAGATTCTTGCCCATAGCTGGCCTTTTAGTGGGTGATGGCTCATCATTGCTTTAGATTTCTTGGCATCAGTTTTTCAATAATTTTGCCTTTCCGTTGGGAAAACGACCCACGCTTACAGTAATCTATTAATATGCTTCTGTACAATTATCTTTTTAGTCTTGGTATTTCAAATATCGATTTCCTCTTCCTTGTCTCATGTAGTTGCTTACTTCAGGAACACATTACAGAGAGATCAGTGGAGGAAAATAAATGTGAATTTTTCATGTTTTAAGTTTTAATTTCCATGCTGACTTCTTTGGGGAAAAAAATCTGTAAAAAAATGGAGTTAGCGAAAGCAAGGATCAAACAGAGGAGAGCAAACAGCTGATTTCAGTTTCTATGGCACAAGCTTACATAGTAAGCTTTCCATCATCTGTCAACGCTCCTTGTTGACCGGTGAGGTCCCAGATGACTGGAGGCTTGCCAATGTGACTCCCATTTATAAGAAAGGTCGTAAGGAGGATCCGGGGAACTACAGGCCTGTTAGCCTGACCTCGGTGCCAGGGAAGGTTATGGAGCAGATCGTCTTGAGGGAGATCATGTGGCATGTGCGGGGTGACCGGGGGATCAGGCCTAGCCAGCATGGGTTCATGAAGGGCAGGTCCTGCTTGACCAACCTGATCTCCTTCTATGATCTAGTGACCCATCTGGTGGATGAGGGAAAGGCTGTTGATGTGGTCTACCTAGACTTCAGCAAAGCCTTTGACACTGTCTCCCACAGCATTCTCCTGCAGAAGCTGGCATCCAGAGGCTTGGATGGATACACTCTTGGCTGGGTAAGGAGCTGGTTGGAGGGCCGGGCACAGAGAGTGGTGGTAAATGGAGTCAAATCCAGCTGGCGACCGGTTGTGAGTGGTGTTCCCCAGGGGTCGGTGCTGGGGCCTGTCCTCTTCAATATCTTTATTGATGACCTCGATGAGGGCATCGAGTGCACCCTCAGTAAGTTTGCAGATGACACCAAATTGGCTGGAAGTGTGGATCTGCCTGGGGGTAGCGAGGCCCTACAGAGGGATCTGGACAGGCTGGAGAGCTGGGCTGAAGCCAATGGGATGAGTTTCAACAAGGCCAAATGCCGGGTCCTGCACTTCGGCCACAACAACCCCAGGCGACGCTACAGGCTTGGGGCGGTGTGGCTGGAGGACTGCATAGAGGAAATGGACCTGGGGGTATTGATTGATGCTCGGCTGAACATGAGCCGACAGTGTGCCCAGGTGGCCAAGAAGGCCAATGGCATCCTGGCTTGCATCAGAAACAGTGTTGCAAGCAGGAGCAGAGAGGTGATTGTTCCCTTGTATTCAGCACTGGTGAGGCCGCACCTCGAGTACTGTGTCCAGTTTTGGGCCCCTCACTGCAAGAAAGATATTGAGGCCCTGGAACGTGTTCAAAGGAGGGCAACAAAGCTGGTGAGGGGTCTGGAACACAGGCCATATGAGGAGAGGCTGAAGGAGCTGGGAATGTTCAGCCTGGAGAAGAGGAGGCTCAGGGGAGACCTCATTGCTCTCTATAACTTCCTGAAGGGAGGTTGTAGTGAGCTGGGGGTCGGCCTCTTCTCTCGTGTCATTAGTGATAGGACCAGGGGGAATGGCTTCAAGCTACGGCAGGGGAGATTCAGGCTGGACATTAGGAAGTATTACTTTTCAGAAAGGGTGGTCAGGCACTGGAACGGACTGCCCAGGGAGGTGGTGGAATCACCGAGCCTGGGGGTGTTCAAGGAAAGACTGGATGTTGTGTTGAGGGACATGGTTTAGTGGGAGCTATTGGGAATAGGTGAACGGTTGGACTGGGTGATCTTTTAGGTCTTTTCCAACCTTGGTGATTCTATGATTCTATGAATATGGAAAATCTCTGGTTGTTGTGGATACAGAGAAATTCCTATTAGGTTAGAGAAAGAGGCATTTATTATACAGCAACACTGGAAAGTGGTACCCATCATCATTTCTTTATACTTTTATTGATAATATATATAGAAGGCGATGATATCTGTGAAGCACCCAAAGACTTCAGTTAAAGTGACAGATAATAAAGTCATGCTAAGGCTTACTGCATACATCAGCTGCTCTGCTTGTGATCTAACCATGAGCATCCATAATGTCCAATGCTGGATTCATCTAGATGCCACTAGTAAGTTCTTCTATAAAGCAAGTATTTTAGACCATCTCTCTTCCAGTAGTGCTGATGGAGAATTTAAATTGAGATCTGGCAGCTGTGTTGTCAACCTTTTGTTACAGCTTTCCCGTTAAAGCTATCTAGATCAATTAAATAGATTATGTCATGATTTGCTGTTGTTGTGGACAAACACAGTAGCTGACAGCTAAAACTGCAAATACAGTTGTATAACATTACTCTTAAAAACAAGCTAAGGTTGCCTGATATCCTATTTAATTAGCTTTAAAGCTGTTTTCTAAAAAGACCACATTTTCATTACAGCAGAACATGACTCCATTAGAGAATAGCTTGGTTTTTCAGTTTTCCTGGGGCATAGTAGGAAATCCTCTGTTGCTCTGAATGTGTGCATAAGCTCTGCCTTTGCTTCGCAAAACAAACTTAACAAAACATGACAATTGAATCTTGCAGCTGAAGAGGGTTTTAAAGATTTGTATCTGTACAACCCTATTTACCATATGTTGTATTTCGCTACCTAAGACAACACAATACCAATTTTTAGGTTTATATTATTTAAATCTGAAATGTATATAGAGAGGATTAACTTCCACTATGGGAAAGAGTATTATGTTGGCTTCTTGGTGAATTTTC